CTCTGAAGTCCCTTCCAAATCTGAAATTCTGTGAAATACCAATATCAGATAAAATGTTATAGTTCTGCGATATCAATCAAAATATATTTTGTTAAGTGTTTTCTATGTGATTAACACTATGCTAGGTGCTACAGGAAACATAAGTATAATAAAAAAAATTTGCCCTCAAGAAATGTATATAGACTAGTTGGGGAGAGAAGCTTTTAAATACCCATGTACCTTTCTTAGTGCTTTAGGACACTGGGTACTCAGTAAAATATCTATCTATCTATCTATATATATATAAAATTGACATAAAGCATTTTAAAGTTTGCAAAGTACTTTATTTCATTTGAGCCTCACAGTAGCTTTGTGAAGGTATAGGTATTAGGATCCCTACTTTACAAATGAGGAAATTGAGGGTGAGAGGTTAAGTGACATGCCCAAAGTCACCCAGCTAGTAAGCATCAGAAGTGGGTTTTGAATCTAAATCTTCCTGACTTCCAAGTCTAGCACCTCCACTATTTCAGTTCAGCAAATATCAGTACTTGCTGTTAATGTTGATACTATGTTAGCCGGTGGGGGGGGGGGGAGCAGAGAAGAATACAAAGATAAATAAAACAGCCCCTTCTCTCGAGGAACTTACAGTTCAGTTGCAGAAATGACAGGTATGTTAATGATTATTAATATGCATTAGAGGTATGATAAATACATAGGAAAGACTTGGGAGGGAGGTAGAGTGGAAATAACTTCCAGCTTTTATAATCAGAGAAGATTTCATAAATGAGGTGAGCCTTGAAGAATGGGGAAGGTCTGGATTGGGAAAGAGGTGGACATTCTGGGTCAGCAGGACAATATGTACATAGATATAGAAGCAGGATCCTGCAATGCATCCCTATTTGATAGTGAGGTGGCTTGCCGAATTCCATACAGCAAAGAGAAATGAGAGTTTGCTATCAATAATATTAACTAGAAATATAAAGTTTTCAAGATTAGAATACTGTTAGCTTTTGTTTATAGTTTGGGGAACCAGCTAATTTAATTTAAGCATTATTTTACACATCACTAATGCTCAGTGGCAAAGGTAAGCAGTTTTTATCTCTCTTAGATATATGTCATTCAGGGGGATGCTGATATCCAACTTATCCTGGATTTAACTTAGAAAAACTACCACTTTAGGAGACAGCTAGGTGGGGCAGTGGATACAGCACCAGCCTTGGATTCAGGAGAACCTGAGTTCAAATCTGTCCTCAGACACATAACACTAGCTGTGTGACCCTGGCCACATCACTTAACCCCATTGCCTAGTGGGGAAAAAAAAGGAAGAAAGGAAGAAAGAAAAAACTACCACTTTAGAAGGCTCACTTAAAGCCAAGTAGTGGCAAAAGTATGATTGCATATTAAGATAAACCAGTGTGAGAAAATTAAGAAATAGGATGGGGAGAGAAGCATGGTGGATAACATTTGGATGAAATCAGAAAAAGAAATGATGCCATTAGAGTGTTCCACGGACCACCTAAACAGAAAGAGAAAATAGATGTGGAGCTTGGGAAATAGAGTGAAGTCTTATATAGTAATGATGGGGGAATTAAATTATCTGGATTTCTTTTGAAACTCTCTCTTTGCTGAAAATAGAGTAATTAATCATTTCTTTATTTGCCTTAATGGTAATTTATCCTCCCAAAAATGAAAGAGCCAACAAGGGGAAGTTGTGTTCTGGATCTGAAGCTTAGAGGTCATAAGAAACTGTTTGCTAGCATGGAAATGATGGGAACCTTGAGGGCAAGTGACCATTCATTCCATTGTGGAATTTGTGAAATAGTAGAAGATGAAAGCTGTGGATAGTCTGACATGCATCCTACATTTTGAGAGAGGAAGTTTCAAAGGGTTCAAAGAAAGAGTAGGTAGGATCCCAGGTACTAAAAATCTACAAGGGAAGTCAGCCCAGGAGGGATGAGAAACTTTCAAGAATGAAATTCTAAAGACAAAGAAAAACAATTCCGTTGAAGAGGAAAAAGTGAAGTTGTCCAGAGAGACAAATGTAAATGCACGGGGAATTCATCAACTAACTTAGAATTTTAAAATAAATCTATAGAAGATGAAAGGAAGGGCAAGTAGTAGAAGTCAAATACAATACCATAGCACAATCCTATAAGATTATTGTTAGGAGTGCTAAGTCTCATAATGAATTGAGGCCAGTAAGGAAAGCTAAGGCAAAAAAAAAATTGGGGGGGGAACTTTTTGTAAGCTCTCTTGGGGAAAAGACAAGGATCAAAAAAGGTTTAGTACTATTGCACAGGGTAAGTAGAATGTTGGTAACCAACAATGAAGAATAAAAATAAGAGTTAAATTTACTTTACTTCTGTTTTCTCTGCCAAGAAGAATAATTTCTGGACCAGGAGGGTTCAGAACAAATGTGACCAATAGGGAATAGATAATCAGGATAAGTAGAGAAATAGTAAAAGAAGCACCTAGCTTTCAGTGTGTTCAGGTCACTAGTTTTAGATGAACTACATCCTCAGGTATTGAAAGAACTAAAAAATGTGATTGCTGAGTTCATGATTTTTGAAAGATCATGTAGAATAAAAGAAAGACTACAGAATTGGAGAAGGGCATTTGATTTTCAAAGAAGGCAAAAGAATACACTTAGAAAAACTATGAGTCAATAAGCTTGACCTTGACTCTTGGGAAAATTCTAATGTGTTATTAAAGGAATAAAAAAGATAGTTAGTGAACATTTAGAAAAGGGAAGCAAAGATCCCAAGAACCAACATGGCTTCCAGAACAGGTCCTACCAGAATATTTCTTTTTTTGACATGGTTACTAGACTAGTAGATCTGGGGTATGTGCTGTGGATGTGGTTAACCTAAAGTTTAGCAAAGCTTTTGATGAAGTTTCATGATTTTGTGAACAAGATAGAACCACAGAAAATAGGCAAGGCAGCTAGGGGAGTGGAGTGCTGGGCCTGGAGTCAGGAAGACTCATCTTCCCAAGTTCAAATCTGGCCTCAGACACTCATTAGCTACGTGACCCTGGGCAAGTCACTTAACCTTGTCTGCCTCAGTTTCCTTATCTGTAAAATGAGCTGGAGAAGGAAATGATAAACTCCAGTATCTTTGCCAAGAAAATCCCAAATGGGGTCACAAAGAATAGGACATGACTAAAAAACAACTAAGCAACAAGTATACTCAGTTGAAAGGAGCTGGTTTAATGACTAGACTCAAAAAGTCATTAATGGTTTGAAGTTGTTTTAGAAGAGGGCATCCAAGGAGTGCTCAGTGAAGGTAATCTTTTATTATTATTATTATTATTATTATTAATGAGTTGGATAAAGGTATAGAGATAATGCTTATTAAATTTTTAGCATACACAAAGCTGGGAGGGATAGCTAACATGTTGAATGACACAGGATTCAAAAAGATCATGAAAGGTTAGAATAGTGGATTGAATCAAGGGAGAAAACTCAATGTGAGTCAGCAATATAAAATAACAGTCAGTAAAGCTAATGTATAATGAGAGGCATAGTGTCTAGGACCAGGGAAATGATAGTCAACTAGCATTTATTAAGTGCTTACCAGACAGGGTGCCAAACACCAGAGAAACAAAAAAAGCCCTTCTGCCCTTAAGGACCTTACATTCTAATGAGGCAGACAGCTTGTAAATTATGAGGTCCATACAAGATATATACAGTATAAATGTAAGCTAAGCTGAGAGAGGAAGGCATCTGGACAAATCTTAAGTTTAGGTTCCAGTCTCTGTATTTTAGGAAGGAAACTGTTGACTTAAATGTTTAGAAGAAGGAAGTTAGGATTTTAGGAAAGAAACTGCTGACCTCAAGTGTTCAGAAGAAGGCATCTAGGACCTTCAGAGGTCATACAGTATGAGAATCAATTGAAGGAATTAGAAATGTTTAGCTGGAGAAAGGGGAGAGCTGTTGGGAATATGATAGCTCTGGGTAGAAGTTACAAACACACATTTAAGCTTGGAGTAATAAAAAACTTCCTAATAATGAGAGCTGTCCCAAAGTGGAATGGGAAACCACCAAGCAGTGGGCAGAGGCTAAAGGAGTTTGTCTGGTATATTTAGAAGGAATTCTTACCAAAGTATGGATTGGACTAGATGGCTTTTGAGATGCTTTTCAGTTCTTGAGATTTTGAGACTTTTGACCAGGATTGGCCTTGGGAAAAATTGTGAAGAAAGTAAATTTCTTCTGTAGTGCACCACTGACTTCTTTCCTCCCCATCTCCTCCCCTCGCACCTTTAGTGGTAGAAATTTGAGAACAAGTTGGAGGGAAAATGTCACTATGACAGGCTGATGAAAGCAATAGTTTTGACATGTAATGTCAAAGTACCCTCAATGTTAAGAGGCTACCTACTTTGACTTAATTTAGGGGCAAATTTGTTTATGATACATTTTTATTTTTTTTTTAACTTTTTCACTTAACAAGCATTTCTTTTCTCTCCCTTCTACTCATCCCCTCACTTGAAAATAAAGCAAAACAAAACCCTTGTACAAACATACATAGTAAAGCAAAACGAATTCCTACATTGGCCATGTCCAGAAATATATGTATTTTTCTGAATCTTGAGTCCATTGCCTCTCTGGCAGTAGGTGGGCAGCATATATCATCATTGGGCCCTTAGAATCATGGTTGGTCATTGCATTGATCAAAGTTCTTAAGTCTTTCAAAGTTGTTTGTCTGATATAATTTTTAAAATGTTTAAGATAATGGGTATACTGTTCAAAAATAACTTTGCTTACATGGACTGGATCGTTTATTACTATATTATTTGTGTAGGGATTCGTTTGAAGAAAAATGCATGAAAGTTTTACATCATGACAACTATCAGGCAAAGGAGAGAAATAAAAGTCGCAGAAGCTTATGAGGATAATCAGTCACAGGAGGAGGAGGAAGAACTGGAAAGACAGTTGTTAAATAGTAAGTTATTTCACCATTTGTTGCAAAAATGTTGCAGCATTTGGTGTCACTGCATATTAAAATGTAAGCCTTTAATTGTACCTGAGCATACAATTGTTTAAGAGTTTAGTACTACATTGTCTGGGGTCTTCCTTACAAAAGACTCAAAAGATATAAAATGATTCATCAGTAGACAGTTTATACAATGTGATATTCCATTTATCCATACAAATGGTTGGGTAAACAAACCACTGCATTAATTGAATTGTGACATTGAAATCTAAGTAAAGTTTAAATTGTATTTGAAGACGCATTTTGTTCGTTTAAAACCTTTTAAAATATTGCTTTTATTGACTTCTCTAATGTTTGGTATTTAAAATTGGTATTGTGTTGAACATTAAATCTGATGTACTAAGAGGAAGGTCAGTGTTATCAGTTTATATAACGGAGGTAACTGAAGTACAGAGAAGTTCCTCAAGGTCCGACATTAAATGTGCAGTGAATAGAAGTTCAGGGTTCATGATTCCTTCAGCCTTAACTGCTGTGTCCCAGACTGAACAAATAAAGTCATTCTCTTTTATTTTTTGTGCAATCATTTTTAACCCGTGGCTCATGCTATCTCTAATCCTCCTAGTCTGCTATCACAAGGGAGTAATTTACAATTTGAAACGTGGAATTATTATCAAAGTGAGTTTGATTAGTGTTCACTCACAGTGTAGCAGTTTACCAAAAATGTGTGAATTGTCATTTTGTTTGGAGAAAAAGATACAATTGGGTATTTAAAAGATAAAAGACTTTGTAATCTAAAATTTGGTCACCTGGGTGGTATAGTGGATAGAGTGCCAGGCCTGGAGTCAGGAAGACTTAGCTCTTCCTGAGTTCTAATCTGGCCTCACACACTTAATAGCTATGTGACTCTGGACAAGGTTAACCCTGTTTGCTTTAATTTCCTTATCTGTAAAATGAACTGGAGATAGAAATGACAAACCACTCCATTATCTTTGCCAAAAAAATGCCAGATGGGGTCATGGAGAGTTGTACACAACTGAACAACAACAAATGTAAAATTTACCCAGTTTTCAGTATAATAAATGAAAATATTTTAAAGCAGTACTTTAAAATAAGATTTCATGTTTAGCTAACATGTTTTTACCAAGATTGGCAGACATACTAATATCCCTATGATTGTGTTGGTTACATGCCTGCCAGTCTTATATTCTGAAGAAAGAGACTGTATGTAACACATTTTTGCCAAATAATGTAACATAATGTAATGTTCTTCCATCATTTATTAGAATGAAATCTTCCAAAAAATTTTTAATGGACATTGTGGAGGAAGGATTACTCTTGTTGAACTAGGAATAATGAGTACAAGTTGCAAAGCACCTAAGTAGGCTTGATGTTGGAGAAAATTTCCTTAACAATTAAAGTTTTAAAAAAATCGAATGAAGGGCCTGCAGAAATGGTAGGGTCCCAATCCTTGGAAATCTTCATGCAGAAGCTGAACAACCACTTATTGGACATAGAGTGGGGATTACTTTCGTGTATAGATTGCACTGGTTGCCTGGCTTACTAAAGTCTCTTCCAACTCTAAAGTTCTGTGATTTGGATTCTAATGCATTCATATAAATAATGAATATGTACCTCTCAACTTATTGTAACCTTAATGTTCTTCATGGGGTAATAGATTACTTATTCTGTGTAGCCATAACATTATTTATAATTTTTAAAAATGTAATGTAAGTCTCATATTGCTATGAAAAGACTTCAAAAATTTAACATATACCACTGTGTTCAGTAGTGAAATGATTGAATTTTTAACTGACTTTTTTTTCTTTACAAAAAAAAGTTTACACTGGGAGAGGATTATGGAAAATTCTTTCGTTTACGATTGGTGGAACTATTGGCCTTTGCATTGGATTTCTTACTTCTGTCTACCTTGCTACTTTACATGAAAATGATTTATGGTTTTCTAACATTAAGGTAAGGGGTTCCAATTAATTATTGAACATTTATTTTCTCAAAAAAGTATAAGAAAAATTGAAAAATTCTGAATGTTTGCAGCATGGTTCTTTCAAGGCATCTATTCTTAATAAATTAATGAAACTGAGACCTCAGTTTAAGGTCATATGACATAATGGGCCTATTGTAAAGCAGTCAGTGCACCAGCATGATTGGTGAAGATTCCATAGAGTAGATGCTAAAGAAATTTCTACTTTTAATTTGTCTCTTCAGTGCCAGAGTTTGATTTTGTCAGAAAAGCTTTTGGTTCCGTAGATATACATGTAGTTTGGTTCTATATGGTTCCTGATTGATATGTTAGCTATCAAGTATGGCTTAGCTGGTTTCTTTAGGTGGGCCCCTGAAAATCTTAGTATTTGGCTTATATGCCTTTCATTAAAGTTACCTATCTACCATAATTCCAACTAGGAAGTAAAGGCATTGAATCAGTTGGGTCCTGGTAATGGAAGAAAAGGAAGGCACTGAGATCTAAGTACTTTGCGTCCCTCAATTAAGGAGGTACAAATGAAGGGGGCATTTCAATGAATCTAGAATCTGTTTAACAGGTTTTTGTTCCTCCCTGCCTATAGTTTAGCTGCCTACAGAGCATAGAAACCTGAGGCTCAGCTCTTCTCCCAACCATAGGAAACCTGGGAGAAAGACCTTGTGTATACTAGACCTTGTTTAGCAGCTCTTTGTCCTTTTACCCACATTTTGGAGGTCTAGAGTATAGGGAACTATTATTCACTCCATTGAAGTGCTACAGCAAACTCAGAAAGGAACCACATTATCCCCTGAAGATGGATGTTCTAAAATGCAAAGGTTCTAAATTTTGTCTCTTAAGTCTGGGGACAGATTTACTGCAAATCCTCTTGTCAGTATAGTTTTTATGGATCATTGTTTGTAGATTTGAAGCAAAAAGGGACTTTAGAGACCATCTAGTCCAATCCTATCATATTACAGATGAGAAAACTGAGACTTAGAGAGGTTAAGTGAATTATCCAAGGCGAAGAAAGGCCACTAGATAGCAAAGTGGATAGATTGCCAGATCTGGAGTCAAGAACACTCTTCCTGAATCCAAATCTGGCCTGAGACACTTACTATCTGTGGGTTTGTCCCAGTTCCTCATTTGTAAAATGAGCTGGAAAAGGAAATGGCAAACCATTGCAGTATTTTTGCCAAGAAAACCCCCAAAATGGGGTCACAGAATTGGACATGACTGGAAATGACTGAACAACAACAATAGATAGTGAGTGACAGAGCTGGAATTTAAACCCACTTGTGATTTAAAATCTAAGAGATCTTGCTGCAACAAACTACCTTTTATTGTACTGGCTTTCAGATTCCATTTAGGTCTCACCACTTCAAATGCAAATAGCATATCCATACTATCTCCTCCAAAACCCTCATCCTTATTCTAATCCCCCCATTCCACTCCAACCCAGTACACCCCTTGCTTCGCCCATTCCATCATGTCCTTCAGAAAGCCTATGTTTATGTTAGTAAATTCTCTTGTATTCTTAATCTTTTCAATCAACTGTTTTCACTTTTACCAGAAACATTGTTTTACCCTGAGGAGATATGATACCTGTTGAGAACTTCTCCATTCCTCCCACTCCCTGTTCATATTATATTCCTCAATGGTTTTTATTTTTTTGAGGTCTTTGCTCATACCATCCTCTCCCCATCATGGTTGGTGCATCTTTAGATCACTGTCTTAATTTTTCAGTGACTTCAGTTCCTGTCATCTTGGTCTTCTGAACTACCCCATTCTCTGCCATTGTTATTGGGGAATTGACCACAGATTCCTATACTACCTCAATTCCAACATCCACTTTTCTACCTCACTCCACCATATTCCAACATGGCCCCATAATGTCTCTTATAATTCTCTTAGAATTTTACCACATCTTCCAAGGTCAAATCCACCGAAATTTCACGCTCCTATAATCTCCTGTCCTCCACTATCTAATTTATGAGAAATGCCCTCTTTACTCTCATCATGGCCATCTCTCCCTTGACCCATGCCTATTCTAATCCATCTCCTCAACTCTAATTTTCCTTTCTTCCATGTCTAGTACTGACCTCATAGTTCACAACTTTAATATTTCACTAGCTACAATCCCAAAATCTCTTGCCCCCTACTTCTTGGCATTTCTTTTTTGAAATACATTTTATTGATGTCTTTGGTTACATTGCATAAATTTCCCTCTATATTCCTCCCTTTGTCCTTCCAGAGATCCAGCTCATATAAGTTTTTTTTTTAATCAGCAAAACCAGTCAATGCTTTGAAAAAATTTGAAATATATGTAATATTTTACACCTGTTGACCCTCTTTTTCAAAGGAGTCAGAGGAGGTGTTTTCCCAAATTTCTTCTTTGAAGCCATGCTTATTCTTTGTAATAATAATAGTAAGCAAATAGTGTGCTTTCATCTGCATTCAGACTCCAAAGTTCATTCTCTGGATGTGAAACAATCCAATTTCTTCTCTTCTAGGCTTGCTTAGTGTTAATACTAGAAGTCATAAAATCAAGGTGATTTTGTCACTGCAAGTTCATGGTATATAAACTTGACCATTTTTGTTTCTTATCTATTTATTTCTTATCTTCTTCTACAGAGTGACAACTCCAAAACTTTTCCTCTTTCCTCTGCCACTAACTATACCACACTCCCCATACTTACAATGTATGACCTGTGTTCCCGAGAATATTGAAGTTATCCAGATGTGTACTCCCTTACCTCCTCTCTTCCTTTACTGAAAGCCTTTCAGCATCTGCATCCTTCCTGTCCTCTTCCTTATCAGTTAATGAAGATATATCTTCTTTACTCACTAAAGCCAGTCCTTCAAATCATATCTTTGATCCTTGATCTGATATTCAGCCTCTCCTTTACCACTGACTCCTTATGAACCTATAAATATGCTCAGGTAGCCTCAATCCTACAAAACCCTTTGCTTTAATACCTTTAACCCTTCCCGCCACTGTCTCATCTTTTTCTTTTCTTTCATTGCTAAACTTGAAAAAAAAATCTATACCTGATTCCTACACTTTAACATTTTCTACTGTCTTCTTAGCTGCTACTATTTTTGCTTCTATCTCCTTGATAACCCTTCTTAAGATGATCTACCACTTGCCAGATGCATGGGTTTTTTTGACCATTTCTTATCTTCTTTGCCCTCTTTGCACATTTTGACTCTGATTGCCTCCTCCTACTAGAAACTCCACTCTCCCTTAACTTCAGTGACACTAAGCCCTCCTCATTCTCCTACCTCTAGCTGTTCTTTCTCTATCTCTAATGGCTCCTTATCCTCTTCCCATCTTTTTAATGTGGTTGTTCCTTGGTTCTGTCTTCCTTCTCTACACTTTCCTATTTGATAATCTTATTCACTGACATGGTTTCTACTACATCTTCTGTGCATAACTCCCCATATCTAAAATCTTGACTGTTTTGTCCTACTCTCATCCTAAATTCACCATATCCAGAATTGAGTTAATCAAGCATTTTTTACATATTTTCTATGTGGTGGGCACTTGGTACAAAAACAAAAATGCAACAATCCCTGCCTTTAAGGTTCCATTGAGAGAGATGCATAAGTATATAAGTATATGTAGAATATGTACAAAATAAATACAAGATAGTTCTGAAGGAAAAATGCACTAGTGGATGAATATCCAATAGGCAGTTGGTGATGCAGGACTGAAGCTCAGGAGAGAGACAAAAGCTGGATATACAGATCTGTGAGTCATTTGTAGAAGATGATGATTCAACTTATGACCAGACTGATGAGGTTACCAAGTATGAAGATGTAGAGACATAAGAAGACACCAGAAAGAGCCTTGGGGAGCACTCAAAATTAGGGATCATGAAATAGATGATGAGCCAGCAAAGGAGACTGAGAATAGGTATCAAAAGAACCAGGAGAATAGTGTCACCAAAAAAAAAAAAAGAAAGAAAAAAACAATAAAACCCAACACAGAGAAGAAAGAGTATATAGAAAGAGAGGGTGGTCAGTAGTGTAAGGTGTGTCAGGTTAAGAGTAATGAGAGTTGGGAAAATACCATCTAATTTAGCAGATGGTATTTTTTGGCAAATTTTGACCAATACCATCAGAGATTACTGGTCACTTTGGGGATAGTGCTTTCTTTGAGTTGACTGATGAAGTTGGAAGCTCGATTGCGAAGGGTTGAGAAATGAGTTGGAGGAGAGAAAATGGAAGCACTTGTTGACAAGTTTTTCTAGGAGTTTGGCAGTGAAATGGAGGGGAGCTTTAGGATTAGTTTGAGGGCATCTTAAAGTCTAATGAAGGTTTTTAAAGAATGGAATGGAAAAGTATTAAATACTTATTTTGTGCCAAGCTCTAGAAATATAAATAGGAAGTCAGTCCAGTTCCCTTTTTCAAGGATCTCACATTTTACTTAGGGGAAACAACACATATATGTAGGGGAAATGAAAAGGACTGCTGCTTCTTAGAGTGCAGCAGCAGGTCAGACATGGGAGATGTGGACATGTTTATATGCCTCTGGGAAATAATCAAGATGGGAAAGGAAAAGGTAAGGGAGAAGGAGTGGGGAATTGGGTAGTTATTGAGGGGGCAATCTTCATGAAAAGACAGGTGGAGGTGGAATCCACAACACATGGAAAGAGGTTATCCTTGGTAAAGAGGAAAGGCACCTCATTATCAGAGAATGGGGGATGATTATCAAAGGATTCTGAAATGTCAAGAAGGTAAAAATGGGAGTTAATATCAAACAACATCTTTTTGCTCAGATAGAGGGTGAAGTCCCCCAGCTGAGAAAGAGGGAAGAAGGGGAGGTTTGAGATGAGAAGAGATGTTTGAAATAGTCTCTGGAGAGTGGAATAGATAATCAATTATGAAGGAGTAAATGGATTGCCTTGCTGCAGTGAGGGTCCAGTTGAAGTTAGATAACAAATTTATAGTAGATACAGGAAGCATGGTTGTTCTGTTCAGCAGCATGTGAGGA